CGAAGCGAGACCGGGCCCAAATGAGGAGAGTTGGAATGCGAAAGACAAAACGGGAAAGGGCCAAATGCGACGGGCCAGAACGAGAAGATCTTTTTGAGAGTGGTTGTTTTGAGAAGGGCCAAGTAAGAAGGGCGAACCGAGAACGGACTCAAATGAGAAGGGTTGAAATGCGAAGGACGAAGCGGGAAAGGGCCAAATGCGACAAGTCCAAGAGAGAAGATCTTTTTGAGAATGGTTGTTTTGAGAAGGGCCAAGTGAGAAGGGCGAAACCAGAACGGGCTCAAATGATAACCACCCGTTTTTTGGCTCATTTTTTCGCTGAAACTTCGGGGTTTATCGGAGTTTATTTCTGTTAGATTCCCAATTCTTTAAAATTCTGAGAATATTTTAGTGCGTTCTTGTAACAAAAAAATAAATAAATAAAGTCCGGGTATTATAACCCGTTGTTCTTTCAGACCCCCAATCGTAAAAAAAAGAGAACCCATTAACTTACAATCAAGTGGCATTAGATGATTGAATATGGGAACAAGGCAGCGGTGTTCTCCACTGGAAGCTACTCAGACTTTGTGTTATAAAGTTACCCCTGTTTTTATACACATTTGTTTAATGAGTCCCATAACAGCTAGGAAACGATAATACACAAACAGTAGCAATAAAGAATAAATTCTAAGAAATACATCGTGCAAAACGGTTAACTCATAGGAGACCGATATCAGAAAAGATCGAGCAGCCACGTTTGCCGGCTGAAATTTTTAATTAACTTTATAATAAAAATAAACGTGCCTAAATTATTAACAAGAGATCTAGTCCCCTATTACTTAACCCTCCTCCCCCCCCCCCCCCCCCCCTCACACAGACAAAAAAAATAACGTACGCTAGAAAAAAACACTCTTCTCATACAGTAACTACTTTGCAGATTAACACGACGGTCTGAGTCTCGGGTTTTATTACCATGAATCATCACCAGCTCGCTTGTTTTTTAAGTATTATTTCAGTAACACAATCGCAGCGTTTCTTACGAAGCGCGTTCATTTGAACCGCGACGTCAGAGTCAGATAAGATAAAGCTGCCGTTCCTGTATAACGAGGCGAAGGTCAGACTGGGCCTCGGGTGCCCGCAGCCGGCCCTTATAGTGACTCTAGCTACTACAGCACTCAATATCGCACAAGACAGCGCACGTTTCTCGAGACGACTTATTGCCGGTGGGAGAAGAAAAAAGTAAGTAGAGCGAACTTGCTTTTTCTCCCCAATGAAAAGAGACGTTTTAGTTTAAGCCGACCGCACTAGTGGGACTTTCTGAAACGTTGCTTTGAGTGTGTTTGGAAGGGAGGATGTTTCTTTTCTTGTCGTCTGTTATGGTTAAAGGAACATTAAACTTCTAGAATATTTTGAATGCCTAAAATAAACACGTTTGTAAAAAAAAATAAAGAAAAAAAAAACAAGCACGTGACCCTTTAAAAAAAATAACGAGCGAAAAAACAGAAGGCTGTATTTACGATTTGAGGCTTCTTTTGAGCAAGGAGCGATTGCGAGACCGTGGGTTCGATTTTGGCGCATCGACCGAAAATAACACAATTTTTTCAAAATCGGTTCAAAGAAGTCACGGGACTTGATTGTTGTGCTGGAATATTTTATATTATGAAAAGTTTATTTTGAGACACTGATCCGTACACTTCGCTAAAAGGGTTTTGGGAGTTCAGTGCGCCTTTAAAAAACCGAATAGATGTACCAAAAAAAAAAAGTACAATACGCAGAGTTAGCTCTTATTGGCTGAAGGAAAAAAAAATAGTGGGTAGACCTCAATGCTAGCAGCCTTGAGGTCTACCCACTATTTTGTTTTTCGATCAGCCAATAAGAGCTCGGCGTTCCGACATCTTCACAACCCCTGTGCTAGAAGCAGACAAACTTACGCTCCGTGCATTATGTTGCGACGCATTCTACAACGAACCTGCCGCTCAGTCGTCCATGTGTCTTGTGCCATGTTAAAAAAAAAATGAATACTAATTTTGATGAAGCAACCGCCATTTCGCTTCAATTCTAGCTCTAACCTGTTTGGTAAGTACTTAGTGACGTCATAGTCAACTTGAATAACGTGCTGGGGCCCTAATCTGGACACTTGGCGGAAAAGTCGGCGAGAAATTCGGCGGCTATGATTGGCCGGCGCCAAGGTCAAGTGTGGCATTGGCCAATCGCGGCCGCCAAATTTCTCGCCGTCGTTTTCGCCAAGCTTCCAGCTTAGGGCCCCTGCTTTGTAGTCCAAAAAGGGCCTAGAAATGACAACCAACAAACGTCCCGCTAACGAAAAACAAAAAAACAAAAAAACTGCGTTTTAAGGTAACGAAGTTTAGCCATTGAATTAGATTGGATTCTTTCGGCTTTTTTTGTAACACGAAAACTTGGATTCTGGATATAGCCAGTGGGCTCCTCTGGCCCTTCCACTTCCGCTGCCGTATTAGCGCTTATGCCTACGGTTGTCAGTCGTCAGAAGTTGCATTTGGAATCGCGGAAAACGGGTTTTCGTTCTCAAAAAATGTTAAAACAATCGGTGACAAAAAAAAAACAAAAAGTTATTTTCGTGTTTTTAACAGCTTGACCAAAAGCTCAGGAAGTGGCCTTTACAAATCGCAATTATCAACATTGCGCCCCCTCTCCAACAAGCACGAAAATGGCGGCGCCCGCAATGAAGACGTGTACACGTTACTCAAAAAAGTAATTAAGTCAAGTTGCTGAGTATTCGCCTCATTGAGTAGAGTAGAAATTACTAAAATTAAAAGTAATTGAGTAAATTACTAACTACCGTAACAAAAAGTAGCAAATTACTTTCGAAGATACTTTTATATTGTTTTTTAATAATACCAAGAAAGTGCATAAATGTTTTGATCCGTTAGCGAAATTCTGCTAGCCAAAAAGAAAGCGGCTTCTGTTTTCACATAAATGCTTTAACAGCTGGTTCTGCTTCTGTGTGATTAACTGTTTTGTACTTTTTTTTGTTTTGTTTTATGATCAATGCTGAACTGCGGATGTATCATTTCTACGTTGAGGTTTAGCACTGCCTGAGCTTGATTTTGCAGGCAGTGTTCGCTTCTTTACAGTGTTGTGTAAAGTAGATCTAAAAAGTACTCATAAGTAAATTACAAAGTCAATTAGAGGTTATGCAATTCAAGTATAGTAAGTACACCGGGTGCAATGGACGCGAATTAAAGTACTACAAATACAACATACTTTTTAACTTTATTTTAAATGGTATGCCTTACCCCTGGAGTAATCGGAGGAGCATAAGGTTTTCTCGGAAATGGCGGCAAATATTGGATAAAGTCAAGTCGCCACGCAGTAGTTGTTCGAGTCTCGCTTACGAACTATTTAACGCAATACACGTATAAGGCACTTATTTGTATCGGACTTATAGCGGCCATGACTTCACACAGAAAAATGACCAGATGACGTCTCGACAGACGATAGCGCGTTTCCACATGACGATACACTTTTTTTTTTAATTCGGGGAATGCATTTTGAAGTAGGGAATTTTATTTTCATCGGGAATTATCAGAAAAATACTTTAGTAAAGTACGAGTACATGCTCAGAGAATGCACTTCAGGTAAAGTATACAAGTTTTCTAATCCTACTTGAAATAGTACTTTAAATACTTCCCAATTTACCGGGTTTTTTGTTTTTTTTTTTGTTTTTGTAAAAGGGTTGAGGAGATTGTTAAGATTCTCGAGCAATCTTCGAATCTTGAAACACCTGCATATGCTGAGGTTTGGGAGGAAAAGGAACGCAAAGAGGTCACCTTTGCGTTGCCCTTTAGCACGCGATCCTTCGTGTACAGCACAAACTTCGGGAGCACCAGATGGGCTTTAGTTCGAGTGCTTCATTTTGTTGAATCCTTTGAGCGAGGCTGCAGTGGGCGAGAGTTTTTACGTTCTGGAGAAACGGGGACAAACCCTTTCTTTAAATACCTGAAGTCTCCTTGAGCCTTCGGGGCACACAGAGATTCCAGTTCTTCGGCGCTAATCCCTCATTTACTGGGCCTCAATTGCCACTTGAATGTGCGCTCCCCGCGCCTGGTAGCAGGGTTGTTAGAGTGGGGGGCTCGTAAAAAGTTTAGAAGATTTCGGGCCCTCCAAACCACTCCCCAGCCCCTGCCTGCGTCACATGCTTCCTCTCTTGGCAAATGTCAGTTGATCTACCAGCATCTTATCTATTTTTGTACAAGAATGTTTCTTAACCAGGAAACCTACCGCTAAAATTCAGAAGTAATTTGTAATTTGAGTGGAAGTTACTTAGAAAAAGTAATTAAACTAATTACCACAATAAAAGTTTAATTGAAAGTTAATACACTACTCAGAAAAGTAGTTAAACTTCAGTAACTTGGGTAGAATATTTGAACTACGTAGAAGTCTGCCGTAATGGATAATAGGTCACGTGACCTGACGTCGCGTGACCTATTACACCAACTTAGTTTTTCCCAAATTTAGCGGGAAATTCGACGTTAAGTGACTTTTGCAGCAAGTTAGTGTCGAAAGCTCCCTACCCCTGAAAGGACGGCTTAATGTCTTCTAAACAAATTTAAACGATCGCTCCTCAAATTCTGCGTTTCATGTATAATAATAGGCAGGCACGTAGCCAGGATTTTGATTCGGGGGGGGGGGGGGGGCGCCCATGACAAAACGCTGTATGAGGGGGAAGGGGGAGAGGAGGCCCCAGCAAAATGAAAGATTTCGAAGGGGGGCCGGGCCCCATGCCCCCCCCCCGGGGGGAGGGGGGAGAGGAGGCCCCAGCAAAATAAAAGATTTCGAAGGGGGGGGGGGGGGGGGAGGGGGGGGCCGGGCCCCATGCCCCCCCCCTCCCCCGAAATCTTCCATTCTACTGGGGCCTCCTCTCCCCACCCCACCCCAACCCCCCCCCCCCCCCCTCCCCGCCCTGGCTACGTGCCTGATAATTGGACATATAAATCAAAGTTGCTGTCAATCTCTTTTGTGTTTTTCCTTCACAGCTATCAGCTGCTTTGTCCGACTCATATATAGACATCTCGAATCCCGAGCCATGAATTTCCGATCGTGGTGCGTCCGGGTTGCTGCTGTCTTGAGCACCCTGGCCACTGCCAAGTGTGCCAGCCTGGAAGACACCGCGCTGCGACTGAAGGATTTGACTTCAAGCGGAGGACCAGCCGGCTTGGACTCCATCCATGGCATTGCAAACAAAAGGCAGTTCCGGAACTACACGTCGGAGCACCGCGAAGTGATCTGCAGGCCACTGGAAGGCGGCGGCATTGAGTGTAAGGGTCAACCCGAATATATTTCTTCTTTTTTAATTTATTTTTTGTGAAACTCGACGATTGACCGCAGAGGACGCTACAAGCCATCCCAGCCAATCCTATGCTGTGAACGCGTCATGTGATTTCGCTTCCCACGCGTCGGTGCGCCCCTCCTCTATAGCTTACGTGAGACTACCCGCGTGGCATATTGGACTGGCTTGAATCGTGAGTTTTAGTAGATCGTTCCGATAACAATATCCGATACTAGAGAGTTTGAGCAGACGGTTACGATATTTCCGAAACACCCTATAACGATACCCGATAACGATACAATGCATGCGCAAAGGCGGCGGCGAAGTATCGGGTATCGTTATCAGAGTCAAAGGAACCATCTACTAAAAATCTATTCTCTGGCGACGCGTTTCCGCAGGTCGTCATCGGGTATATCACTATCGGAAGTATCAGAAGGCTATATAAAAACTATATTTTAAAGAGATTTAGTAGATATCGTTCCGATACCTCCAATAGCGATACCCGATAACCACGTACGATGCGCGTGCAAAGGCGACGAGGATTATCGCGGGTATCGTTATCGGAGTCTTCGGAACGATCAAGTAAACCTCCCGAATAGGAGGTTTAACAGATTATCTTTTCGACTCAAAAGCGGCGCGAGCTTTTTTGATATCGGTTGCCAATGCAATATTTTATCATCCTTACTAATAAAACAGATTGCATGGACACATAATCGATTAAACTAATGGTTTGTCGGGATATTTTGACTGTTTTCTTCGGGGTACTGATGTTGTCTGCTTTGCAGTTCCTTTTTGTTACAACGTCTGTCTTTGGTTCTGTCGCCGCCTGCGGAACGCGCGCCACTTTTAAGTCGAAAAGATTGTCTGCTAAAAACGTCGGCTCTCGGCGCCGTACGCTCGTTCGTTGGCGGCAGTTGGCGTCGCGAACGCTTGCGCCATCTCTTGTCTCCCGTGGGAAAAGGCGCCGTATTGTATCAAGACCGGTGGCGTCGCTGCGTTTCCATAGGAGCTAAGCCTTTTCTTTCTTTACTTTTTCCTCAGGTAAATTCGCTCTTTGCAAATTTTACAAAGAAAAAAAAAAGCACCATCTGTGGGCAACGCCGCACAAAGTCGTAGCGCGATAGGTTAAGAAACTGAATTTTGCGGTCAATTTAAAGAGCCTGGCCGCTCCTTGGGAAACCCAGTATATGCACATTGGGACAGGATACTTAAATCGTTTAAGCGCGGGTTCACACACTCGCGACTGCCTACGACCGGCTGCCGGTCGTAGGCTTAAAAAAACTGGTTCTGGCACAGGTGGTCATAGTCAAACGCGTGTGTGAACCATCCTTTAGGCGTCGGTGAAAGTTGTCAATCGCTCGACTACCCACTGCTTCGTATACCTACTGCTGCGAGTCCCCAGTTGCCAAGAAGTGTCCCTCAACACACGTGGCACCATCCGCAGGCAAAACCACTGAAATCACTTCTAATGTTTCCTTGTCCTGGACTCCGGGAATCATCGCCGGCCTTGCGGTGGGACTGGTCGTGCTTCTTGTCTGCGTGACCGTCTGCTGCGTCTTATGCTGCCGGGGAGTGTGCGCAAGGAGAAACATGGTGGGCGTTCTACACCTTTTCGAAGGATGTACTGTCGGCACTAAACTAGATTAGCACAAGGGATCGACGGCCGGATCGCTGAAGTCGCGGCACACTGCGCTGTGTGGTCGCAAAATATGCTGAGAGTGAAAGGGGTCGGGCCGTTCCGTAACTTCAATTCCAGGATGATTCCGAAGACAATTATCGCTTGAAAAATTGGCTTTTTTTTTTTTACAAGATTGATGCCGTAGTTTACGAGTCTTGAAAGGTCAGCGTATGAAATCCACCAAAGACGTTAAAATTGAACAAAAAAGAAGACATCTCTGCACTCAACGATTCAGCCGCATGTGTATACACAATCATGCGTGACCGTCAAGCCCCTGGGGCAAAGCAGCGGCACTTTCAGAAGCGCGTTTTGGAAACGGCTGCTCTTCGCCGGACCGGCTCTTTGCTACAAAGATGGCGCCCATAAGCGGACTTGAACGTAGTTCAACCACTCTACTCAAGTTACTGTATTTTAACTACTCCTCTCAGTAGATTAGTAACTTTCAATTACATTTTTTTCTTCGATAATGAGCAGTTTACTTTAATTACTTTTCCCGACTATCTTTTACTCAAAATACAAATTACTTTTGAATTTTAGTGGTAGGCTTTCTTATCAGCAAAAATTACAGCACAAAAAGAGATAAGATGTTGGATGGTCAACTGATATTTGCAAAGAGGGGAAAGCATGTGGTGTAGACAGGAGGGGGAAAAGGGGGGGGGTAGTAATTTGGAAGGTCCGAAATCTTTTGAACTTTTCACGAGCCCTCCACTGCAACAATCCTGCTACGAGACGAGGGGGGCGGACAGGCATGCCGCAAGTGACGCCGAGTAAATAGAATGAGCGCCGAAGATTGGTGTTCCTTTATGTCCCGGAGCTCAAGGACACTTGACGGATTTGAAGAAAGGGCTAGTCCTCGCTTCTACCCAAAGTCGGAATTTTCGCCCACTACAAGAGATATACACACATCATCCCCCATTCAAAGGAGGCATCAAAGTGCACAACCCGCTCTGAAGCTCATCTGGTGCTCCAAAAGGTTGTGCTGTCACTTAAAGAATCGCGTGCTATAGGGCAACGCCAAGGCGACCTCTTTGCGTTGCCTTTCTTCCTGAAACGCAGAATATGCAGGTGTTCCAAGATTCGAAGATTGTCCGAGAAACCTTAGTAATTCCTCCGAAGATTTTACATACAAAATAGTAAACAAGCAGTGATGGAAAGTACTTTAAGCACGTGTTACGTAAAGTATTATTTCAAGTAGGTTTAGAAAACCTGTACTTTACTTGAAGTATATCTTCTGGGCATATACTTGTAGTTTTCTACAGCATTTGTCTTTTCTCTGGTACTTTTCAAGGAAAGTACCAATCCCGACTTCAGAGACAGGAGTTGTAATTCACATGGCGCAATCTTTGTCGTGGTTCGTTTATGTAAACCATAAATCTAGTCCGAAAAAAAGGAAGTTTGAGGCTGCAGTAATTGCAAACCGCAATTCCGCACAGGCGTATTTAAAACCTGACTTAGCGCCAACCCCTATAAGACGAAAACCCGTTAAAATTGTAGTACTTTTCATAGTGAATGCACCACCACGAAAGTATGTAAGTAGAAGCGCACAATTCCAAAATGCGTCTAAAATCATATGCATACATTCTTATAAATTCTGCCTCAAAACTAAATTTTAAGCTAAGAAATATTAACACTTGCCACGCGTTTCCCTCTTTGCAACTGCGCAACGAAGGGAAGCTGTGGTGGCTGCATACCGAAACCACCGACGCCCGAGATAACAAACCGGCTCCCCGAAGACAACATCATGCAAACCGTAAAAACTAAAAAAAAAAAAAAAACCCGCTTTGAGGTTGGATTTTTTTATTTTTCGCCGAGTGTCCAACCCTTGCGCTAAATGCTCACGCATTTAGTCGGGCATCTCCGCATCGATAGCAGCGATTTCGGCATCATTTTTGATTTATGTAGTACTTCTAAAGTTCCTTGATAGCAATTTACGTTCTTAAGTGACCCATTCTGGGTTAGTCACCTAGAACCTAGCGCTTTCACTACACTCCCAGCTTTTTTGTCAGCATCGTTTTACACCGTTACGACTTCTAACCCATAAAATAGTTAATTGACCTGACTTTGCGGGTTGTTTCAGTAGCCGACAACGCTGGTGTTCCAGGACCGCACCAGGTGACCACGGGACCAGGGACCCACTCCTTTCCGCAAGGTGCTTACCCTAAACAGCCGCGCTGATCGTCGTCTTCGCTTCGAGAACAACCCGAAAGCAACTGAGCCAGCGAATGCATCGACCCTGTAAATGCTCAACTGTGCCACGACAGACAAATCGTAAAAATATAAAAAAAAATCTAAAAAAAAAGAACTTTTGTGTGCACCTCCGAGAAACCTCTATGCTATTCGAAATTTGAATTTATACGAAATGGACGACACAGCGTTTTCTATATCCATCGCCCGACATGCGCAAGTCGGTCCCTTTGGACAAAGAGCACCTCTTGTCTTCAACATTTCTCTCGCACAAATTAATTTAATAAAAAATCACTAACGACCACTTAAGTGATCTTTCGTTATAAAATTACCCGATTATTCGAGAACAAAACAACAACAACAACAAAAAGTACAACGCATTTAAATGCCCTAATAGACCATCTTCAAAACTCCATCGAGCAACACTGGCGATCCCCTTTTTTGGGGGCACGAAGAGTGTGTTTGAGTCTGAGTTTCCACCGAAGGCTGACGCCGCACTCGTTGTCGATACGAGCTGAGACGACTTCACGCCGTACGCTGACGCGACCTTTAACTTTCAATACATGCTTAGATTGCGTGCCCAAACAATGACAGATTCGTGTAATTGGCGCTGTAACTACGAGAGGGTGTGTACTTTTGAAAAGGGTTTATTGGAGGGCATTGGTGGCGAGTATCAAGAGTTTTATCGCAACCTCGTCAGGAAAAAAAGTTTTTTGAGTACGGCAGCTTATATATATAAATTATTATTATGTTCCATAGGGGTCATCAAGAGAAGTTGTTCGGACGTCGAGGAATTTAATTATCCAAAGTACTGCCCTTCACCAAACTGAACCCCGTAACCCGCGCTGTTTAATCCCTTTAGATAAAACAAATGTTTCAAATGCAGACAGCGGAAGAACTCATGTAGGATTTTTTCTACGGCAACAAAATTGAAGTCATTAAGAAGTGTGCCGAGCAAAGAAACTTTTTACTGAGGTTCCATACGGGGTGTTAATTTTTCACTTCTGTTTTCAGTAATCTGTCAGAGTCCAGTCGTCTCCATATAGTGCATCACCTCTATGTCGTTTCATCCAGTAGCCCGGTATTTATAGTCATCATTGTTTACCATACACACACTGTATGTTTTAAATGATATAAGTTGTTCGCTAGCATTGTTATTTAAATACAATCTACCAATAATGTGATACATTTGCTATAAAATCTACCAATAAAACCACATTCGTCACTTACTTCGTGTTACCGACATCAATTTCCATTCTTACGACGCAGAAGTCCCCGTACCAATGTTATGAGACTACGCTCACGCTTGCGTTTGCTTACGACCGAGTTCTTGCGACCTCTTACGACGAGAAAACACACTAGCACGCTGGCGCCATCTATGAAGTGACCCTTGAACTTCGTTAGAATTGAGCGAAGGTTTTGCAGTATTTGAGAGATCAAATGTACGTAATATCTACTAGAAATGATCGCTCACAACGTTGGCAAAAACTTTAAAACAAATAATAATGCGCGAAATAAAATATACGGGAACTGCAAATTGTTTCCACAGATACACGCTGGACGGGAGACCTACCAATGGGGTAAGCAGGTGAGACAAGACACTGTGGATGAGGCGAATGAGGGTGTGCAAAGGAAGAAAAGAGTTACGAAGTGCGTCGCATTATTTATCATCGGTGCTCCCTCGATTAGTAGCGTGCTATTAGTTTTATTAGCTTGAATACACTATACATTAATGTGGGATGCTTTGTTCCTCAACTACATGTGCGGTGGAGTAAACAAATGTTAAACCAAACGGCGGAACATTACGGCCACGCGTTTCAACGGGGACCAACAATACACTCCGCGACGAGCGCTTGGCAGAAACTTTGCGACTTCACGAGTTTTCTCCACGCTCTCAACGGCCTTTGTTTTTCGGCATTGGACTATTATAATGTACAGCTGCAACGGAAAAAGATTAGCACAAGTGACCGACGACCGGGGCAGCAAAATCCCTACACGCGGCGCTATTGTTCCCGAGCGATCCGATAGCGAGAGTGAAAGTCACGTTCCATGCCTCAACGCGGGGGTGGCCGGCAGAGAATGGACGCACAAGATAGCTTTTGAAATGCGTGCTTTAGGGTGGGCTGCTTTCTGCCGGCCACCTCAGCGCTGACACACGGCACGTGACTGTCACTCTTGCTATCGGCGAGCTTGGGAACAATAGCGCCGCCTGTCGCGATTTTGCCGCCGCTCCGGTCGTCGGTCACCTGTGCTAATCTTTTTTTGTTGCAGCTGTATGCTAGCGGGTCAGCTGCCGCTATACTTTGTTTCCCCATAAGTCCAGACACAGTCGACCCTACGAGCTGATGAGACCAATCAGACAGCATCAAAAGCGCACCGTCATGGTGTTCGCCATGTTTCTCTAGATGTTCTATATATATATATATATATATATATATATATATATATATATATATATATATATATATATATATATATATATATATATATATATATATATATATATATATATATATATATATATATATATATATCGCGGGTTTATTTTGACTAATTTGAGATCTTTTGACGTGCAACTGAAATCTCAGTTTGACCTCTGTCAGAATCTGGGCACTTCGGTCGGTATTCCTGACAACTAGGGATTCATTGGCCAGCGCGTTTGCTCAAAGCCACTGAGACGTTTTAACGTTTTCTGTTTTGTTTTAATATCATTGCCATGTAAAAGCCTCAAAGATGGCTGTGAAACAAAACATACTCGAACTCACGACCAACTGGAATCCTGACCTGCCGACAGAAGGGCCCCCTGTGGGACCAGCTGTCGCTGGCGGAGTGCCTGGTTTCTCCGTTGAGGGCGCGCGGTAAAGGTTCTTCTTAGAGTTCCTGTATAGACGCTTTGCAGCAACTGTGCATGGGCGCCGCCATAGCCGACCTTCAGTTTTTGTCTCCTCTTATTCCGTTCGCTTGACTTCATCATTGCCACATCAGGACAGGTTATTGCCATTTTAAGTGCTACTCTGTCCTTGTGCACCTGCATAGGCTCTTGTGGAGTCTCGCCAACCCCCGGTTCAGTGGCTCAGCATCTGGGTAAAACAAGAGAAGGTCGACTATGGCGGCTCAATCTGGCGCGTGCTGAAAGCGTCTATAGGCTCCCTACGTGAGCCAGAGTTGCGCGTTCATGCATGGCATGTGGATACAGCTCCTCACGTGACTGAATTCGGCGAGTAGCAGCGCCGCGCGTTTGAGGCGCGCGGCAGGCTCAAAAGCCGGGGAACGTACGCCGGGACGCGTGCAACGCCTACTTTGCTGCACGACACTTGATACGGCTCCTCACGTGATCGGATCTCGGCGAATAGCGGCGAGGGCGGCACGCAACACGTGGAATCAAACGCGCAACTCTGGCTCCCCTAGGGAGCCTATACGGGAACTCTAGTTCTTCTGGGACCCGCACGCAGCTCGCAGCCTGCCTTCCCTGCGGCCTGCCACCCCTGCCACTAGCTGATTACCGCTCTTCCTTCCCTTACGCAGGGGTCCACCTCGCCGCAGAGCGGCGCCAGCGGCGGGACCAACCGTTCTCGCTCGTAGCAGGACCATAAAAGTTTTTTCAATGTTGATCTAATCGCCTCTGTCTGGCTGATTAGGGCGCGAGGGTGCAGTGCCCGGAGGTAGAACAAAATTGTACTACAGCACCAAAGTGCAGTAGTGCAATAAATAATGCTAACCATGAAACCGGTTATCCTCCTTCGCACACTCATATTAAAGCTGTCTAATAAGTACGCGCGTGTTCGACCCACGCCTCATCTGAAATTGGCGCGCGGCAATAACTATGACGGCAGCTGGCGGCCCTAGTGGCAAAATATTTCACACGCGCAGTGGCGAAATCGCGGTATAGAGAGCCATTCTGCGTACAGGTCAGGACCAGATAACGCAGCCGCGACTGGCGCGCCTCAAATTGACGTGGGGATATCTTACGAAGCAGAAAGACCTCTAAGTGGCGCCATGCACTCATAGCGTTACTAAACGCTGCGGATTCTGTGTGTACTAAACACCGCGCGCGGCCGCTCTCGTCTGTCGGCAGGTCAGGATTACAGTAGGCCTTGGTCGAACCATTCAAACAAGCACAGTTCGATTGCGAAAATTATTTTTGAAATTGATAAAAAAAAAGTCAATTATTTTTGCATACCTGGCGGTATCCCAACTGGTCGAATCGCTTTCATGGCGCCAATTTTATTTGGATCGCGTTAGGCATGTGTGCGGACGCACAGTAGAACGAGCGCAAAGGCAGCTGTGGTGCACCCGCAACTTCGCGCTTGTTCTGACATCTCTGGCTCGCTCACTGCGGGCATCCAGCCATCCGACACCCTGACATCTGGCGCTTTTTCTGTCTTTCACGTGGCGTTCCAAGCGGCACACGACGGAAAATGCTCATCAAGCTGTTCTTGAACACGTGTCGCCATTTGTATTTTATTTTAAGAAACTGTAATCTGCCTTAACTGAATGGAGAAAGTTTGAGGTATAATAACATTCTTAACGTGTAATATATCAATATGGAAGTTCTAGAAAACGTAATATCGAAGGATGCTTCGTAATTTAATGTCTCCTTATTTTGACGTGATTTTATTTTTATAGCACCATAAATTATTACCATTTTAAACTTTATATTTTTTTTTTATTTTAACGTATACATCATCTGTACAGTTCGTTGCTTACTTTTTTATTTAATTATATCCAACCGAACGCCGAAGTAAATCGTGGGCGATGGGACGTTCTAACTCGAGAAATATTTTTTTTCAATATTAGAGACTGTGCTTTATTAAAAGCTAAATAATTAAATTACGACTGAAAATAATCGTAATATCGAGACACTCAAGTCTTAAAAAAAAAAAAACAGCTCTCCAATATGACATTAGTTTTATAATTGTAAGATACACAGAAAGAAAGTTATAATCCGTCAAAAAAGCACCAAAAACGTCATTCACGTCAATTCAGTCAGTGCGTTTGTACCGCACTGGCTAAATTGCTCATCTACAGCGAGTGACTTGTCGCAACTTTGAAATGGCTGACCGACTACACGCTATATAAATATCAACACAGTCC